GAAACTATAGGGTGAAACTAAAGGGTGAAATTTTGAACTCTGTTAAAAATAAATGTGTCAAATAATTCCTTAATTTATTTTATTTCATGTTTTCAATCTTTATTTGTTTTTGAGAGAGAGAGACAGAGTGTGAGCAGGGGAGGAGCAGAGAGAGAGAGGGAGACACAGAATCTGAAGCAGGCTTCAGGATCTGAGCTGTCAGCACAGAGTCTGATGTGGGGCTCAAACTCATGAACCGTGAGATCATGACCTGAGCTGAAGTCAGAAGCTCAACCTACTAAGCCACCCAGGCGCCCCTTCCTTAATTTATTTTCAAGACAAGGAAGGGCACCTGGGTGGCTCAGTCAGTTAAGCATCCAATTCTTGATTTCAGCTCAGGTCTTGATTTCAGGGTTGTGAGTTCAAGTTCTGCACTGAGCTCTGTGCCCAGAATGCAGCCTATTTAAAAGTATATATATAAAGACGAGGACTATATGCTGAAGAGGTAGATTATGACAGATACCCATATTAGCTTTTTCAGGCCCTTGTAGGTTAATTTTGAATTTATTTAGCACCCACTATATTCCCAGCATGGTCCCAGTATCTGAAATACAACATAAACAAAGCACTACCTTCCTTTCTTGTTGCTCTCAGGTATGGAAGCACATGATGGATTAGGGGCCATGCTGGAGGCATGTCCAAGGCTGTACAAAGGAAAGTTCCATCTACCCTGATGGAAGGGAGAATGGTTTTGGTGAAGAAAGATCCCCGAGGGCAAGGCATCTGAAACTGGGTCATGAAGAGTAGGTAGGGCTTCCTCGGGGGGAGAGAGGGGGAAAGACAGAGGAGACAAGATGTGCAAAGGCATGAAATATAAGTGAGGGAGATGAAACCACCAGATGCCTTAGGGGGAAGTGCGAGTTATTTCCATGAAGCACAGAACAAAAGGGAATAGCCCAACAGAAACAGAAGATGGCTAGATGGCCCAGAGCTCATTGGCCTTCAGAGGAGAGTTGCTTAATGCTCATGCCAAAGGGACACGATGGAGAATTTGAAGCAGAAAAGACTTGATTGGATACTTGTATGATAACTCCAGCCATGGAGTCAAAGGATAGGCAAGAGGCATCAAGACTCTGGGGGATAAGTGGGTCAGGTGACCAGTTAGGGAAGAACTAGGAGACAAGAGAACGGTCTGGAGATCGTGGCTGTAGTGAAAGGGAGAGATACAAGAGATGATAAGGAAGGTGAATTCAAATGTGTTCACCTCAATTTACTTGCTCTATAGATTGGTGAAAACTTAAACCACCAGCCACAAACATGCTAAAGTCATATCTCCAAGACTTCATTTGGGCGTGTTGCCTGAAAACCGATACTCTTGTTTAAAAAGTGAAGGGACGGGATAGAAGGAACATACTTAAAGATCATTAAAGCCATTTATGAAAAGCCCACAGCTAACATCATCCTCAACGGGGAAAAACTGAGAGCTTTTTCCCTGAGATCAGGAACACCCACAGGGGATGCCCACCTTCACCGCTGTTGTCAACATAGTAGTGGTGCGCTGGAAGTTCTAGCATCAAAGTAATCAGACAAATAAAAAGGAAATCAGCAGCGCCAAAATTGGTAAAGATGAAGTCATTGTCATTTCTTGGTAGATGACATGATATATATTATACACATGGAAAATCCCGATAGACTCCACCACTAAAAAGTCTACAGGAACTGATAAATACATGAATTCAGCAAAGTTGCAGGATACAAAATCAATGTACAGAAAGGTGCATTCTTATACACTCAACAATGAAGAACAGAAAGACAAATAAAGAAATTGATCCCATTCAATTGCAATCACCAAGAAGTATAAAAAATACCTAGGAATCAATCTAACAACCAAAGAGATGATGTCAAGGATCTGTATGCTGAAAACTATATAGAAAAGCTTATGAAGGTAAGAAGAGATGAAGAAATGGAAAGATATTTCTGCTTCATGGATTGTAAGAATAAATATTGTTGCAAATAAATAATATACTACTAAAGTTATTACCCACAATATTCAATGCAATTCAATAAATTGTAAAATCAGTATTTTCAAATCTAGAACAAGTAATTCTAAAATTCATATGGAACGCTACAAAAAGGCTTCGGTTGAAGCTAAAAAGTAATTTTAGGCGAAGACCAAAGCAGGAGACCGAACCCCAACCCCTAAACCCCACCCAAACTCTTTCCGTCCCTGGTACTCAAAACAGACACATAGACCAATGGAATAGAATAGGAAATCTCCCCGGAACTGGGGACCACCTACAACGCATGCCAAATCATTTTGACAAAGTAGAAAGCATATCATCTAATGAAAAAGATGTCTTTATATTAGTCAATGGTGTTGGGAGAATTGACAGCAACATGCAGAAGTGTTGAACTAGACTACTTTCACACCATTCACAAAATAAATCCCAAATGGATAGTTAAGGACCCGAATGTGAGACAGAACATCAAAACCTTAGAGGAGAAAGCAGGAAAAAGACCTCTGACCTCAGTCAGCAACTTACTCATTACACACATCCTCAAAGGCAAGGAACAAAAGCAAAAAGTGAATTACTGGGAATCTATGAAGATCAAAAAGCTTCCGCACAGCAAAGGAAACAACTGTAACAAAAACTAAAAGGCAACTAACGTGGAATGGAAAAGATATTTGCCAATGAGACATATCGACAAAGGGTTGGGTATCCAAAATCTATATATAAAGAGCTCACCAAACTCCACACCAAAAGCAAATAACCCAGAAGAAATGGGCAGAAAACATGAATAAAACTTCAAAAGAAGACATCCGGATGGCCAACAGGCATGAAAAGATGTTCAGCCGCCGCCTCTTATTGGGGAAATATAAATCAAAACCACACTCAGATATCACCACGCCAGTCAGAGTGGCCAAAATGAAATCAGAGACTATAGATGCTGAGAGGATGAGGGAGAAACGGAAACCTTCTTGCACTGTTGGTGGAATGCAAATTGCAGCCACTCTGGAAAGCAAGGTGTGGAGGTTCCTCAGAAAATTAAAAAGCCAGATCTACCCCATGACTCCAGCAATAGCACTGTTAGAATTTATCCAGGACACAGGAGAGTATTGATGCATAGGGGCACTTGAAAAATTCCAATGTTCAGCAGCAGCACCTCAACACAAAGCCAAATTAAGTGGAAAAGAGCTTCCAAATGTCCATCAACTGGATGAATGATAAAGAAATTGTATAGGTATAATAATAATGGAGGTCACTGGCAATGAGAAAAATGAAATATGGTCTTTGTAAAGCAAAAAAAGGGATTGAACTGGAAAGGTGATGCTGTAAGGAATGTTGAGAGAAAGACAGATAAATCATATGAGCACACCTTATGATCCCGGGAGAACTTAAGAGAAACCTGTTGTAGGAACAAAAAAAAAAAAAAAAAAAAAAAAAAAAAAAAGAGGTTAGAGGAGAGACAAAAGCATAAGAGACCGAACTGAGAACAAACCATGTTGATGGGGGGTGGAGGGAGGAGAGGTGGGGTGGGTGATGCAGTGCACTGAGAGGGCAACCTTTTGGTATGAGCACTGGGGGTTGTATGGAAACCAATTTTGATACAATCGCTTACATATAAATAAAAAAAAAATAAAAAGTGAAGGGAGAGACAGCAGACGCTGCAAATCAAAAATCATGACCCGCTGCTGGTTTTTAGCGTATGTGCTTCCAGCTAAAGCCAAGGGATTAACTCTGTTGGGATTCCACGATTCGGTTCAAACTGGAAATAAAAGTCCCATTCCATGGAGACCAAGTTCCAGCATGGAGGGTTTTGTCCTCAGGAACCCTAGCCAGAGGAGCCCTGTAAGGAAGCCCCGCGTGCTCTGCAAGCCCGAAGCCTAAAAGATACCGGTGACGGTCCGGTTGGGTGTGATGGGTAAGCCCAGCTGAGCGATTCCTGAGAGCGAGGAATTTGGTTCCAGGAATGAAAATGAGTGCCGGTGACAACTTCTGAGGACAAGCTTTTGATCTCTTCTAGGGTACCCTGGAAGGTCAGACCTTGGAGGCCTGACCTTGGCCCTAGACTTACAGACAAGACCATAGGGCTGGGCCATTACAGAAAGTGAGAGGGTAAGACACTGAATCAGATGGTGAAGGTAAGCTGGAACCACCAGAATTTGGCAGGCTTTCCAAGTGCTCTAGAATTAACCCAGGTTAGCTAATTCTTCAGAAAAGCATCATCTCTAAGGTGGCAGTAATGAATTATCACCAGAAGATATATACAACACCATTACTTCCAACTATCTAACAATTATCACAGGCTGTGATAAATCATTCCCTTTAATAATAATACTGTTGAAAGAGAGTAGTAATATCTATGCTCATATACATTGTGTAGAATTACAGTCATAACTGGGGTGCCTGAGTGGCTCAGTCTTTCAAGCACCTGACTTCAGCTCAGACCACAATCTTGGAGTCCGTGGGTTTGAGCCCCACATCAGGCTCTGTGGTGATAGCTCCTAACCTGGAGCCTGCTTCAGATTCTGTGTCTCCCTCTCTCTCTGCCCCTCCCCAGCTCGTGCTCTGTCTCTCTCTCTCTCTCTCTCTGTCTCTCAAAAATCAACAAACATCAAAAAACTTAAAAAAGAAAAAGAATTACAGCCATAAACTCATACTCTTGGAAACAATTCTGCCCAAATACTTAACGAACTTCTTGACCAAGAGCTTCCGAAGGTGCACAATCGAATCCTTGACTTCTAGAGTAGCTGTGCTTGCTCTTTTTCCTCCACCCCATTACTTGAGGACCCTCCCCAGACTGTACCAAAAACTAAGGACCAGAAAATTGATGCTGAAACAAAACCCAAACGCCTTACAGTCAACACAAGTTCGTTCTATAGACTTAGGTTGCTGGTTCAGACACTCTAGTTAAAGCGCCAACCCCCCCGGTGTTCACTCCGTGTTTACTGAGCATGTGAAAGGTCAGCAAATGAGCTGAGCAAAGGAGACTAACAAGTGAAAAATCCAGCGTCTCACCCAGCTCCACATCTTGGTCATCGGTGAGCACAAGAATAATGTTGGGTCGGATGTTTTTTCGTTCCTGCTGTATCCGTCCTCTGAACCTCTGGGATCTGACAGTCGAACAGAGGGTCCCCAGCAGTTCTGTGCCCAGGACCGCCAAAATCAGGGCACAGCAAGAATACTTCATTGTGTTTGGTCCAATGTCGCAAAACTGACAAAACGTCTCAGCCTCCTGGTTTCTGCAGGTCTGGGCAGTCAGGGAAAAAGGGAGAGGGAGAGATGAAAATGAAATCCAAACCCCAAACACAGTTGCAGAGAAAGGGCTACAACTAAGTGGGAACTGGCACATGAGTCAGAAGCGGCAAACCCTCACAGGCTTTGGATAGTTTTTTAAGCACTTGATTATTTTGCAAATTCACTTTTGTCCTTTATTCTCATTCCAACTTTTTCCTATTTCAAAAGTCACTGCCAAAATATAATTTCCCACACAGAGCTCAAATGTAAAAGCCTTTTGACGAGAGCTAATACCTTGAAGTAGGTATCCTGGTTGAAGAATCAATTCCTATGCTCAGAGGTATCCAGACCATCTGCAGATGGGGTCCTAGAGGGCGAGAAAAAATACAAAGGAAACGTCAGTCAAGGATTCTGATACAGATTTTGGTCTGAAGCAGTTTCTTAAAGTAGCATATTATCTATGTTTATAAATATAAATGTCAATAATCTGTACTCCAAAAGGGAGAAACAGAAGAAAACAATATTCAGAACTGCTAACAAATGACTCAAAAAGTATCTTCATTTCATAATCGGCCCCATGAAACAATGACATAGGTATGTCCCTGCTCACACTCTGATAGTACTTTAAACGTCCCCGGGAAACTCACGGTGGACCAGAAAGAGCCACCAGTGCCTGTGAAACCCCAGCACGTCTGGAGAGCGCTTGCTTCTGGGGAGCGGCTGGCATGAAGGGGTGTGGTGGGGGAGCGTCGACTCACCTGCGTAGATACTGAGTACTTATCAAGCAGAATAAAATGCAAAGCTGTCATTTGTCATCTGCATTATGTCACTCAGTACCCAGGAGAGTTCTTTCTGCTGACAAAGACTTCTTAGTAAGTGACTGGGAGGGCAACCTTTCCCAGCCCCCGAGAAGCTCCTAACTGTCCTCCATCAATCACCAGGGGAAGGGGTGCTTCTTCCGGGCAAGGCTTGTCCCTCCGTACAGCCCGTGTCCTTGGCACGCCAGCACCTAAGGGGACAGAGCCCTCCTTGACTGTCAGCACCAGCCTCACTATTATCAAGACCTGTAACAGTGTTGCGAGCACGGAGGCTTTGCCGCGGCAGACCTAAACCTGCAAAGCTAAATGATTGATTGGCCCTGGAGCTGGAGGTTAGAGGCTGCCCTTCCACATTAAAAATAAATAAATACATAAAATCTGGAGGGGGTGCTGCACAAGCTTTGCAAATCTGCCCAAGAGGAGACTTCAGAAAGAGTTGGAAGAAAGCCCCTTTCACTTTAGAACACCAACCTGCTGAAAGCGTTTCTCTTGGACTTCTGATAGCAAAGGGCTCATTAAAATAATAATAAAAAAAACCCCACAACTCTTTCTTTCGGATGTCACGAAGAAATGTCTGTATGGGAATTGAGGCTGCCCTAAAATTAATTAGATAGCAGCCCGCTTCATCAGCCACTCTGTCCCCACACACCTGAGGGTCTGTATTTTGAATCGCAACAAAGAACTGGCATCAGATAAATAAGCATAACAAATTAAGTGTGAGAGTTGCATAGCAGAAGGAAAGGGACCCCATCACTCATTTCCATGCCTTAAATTCTGGAGGGTGACATGGGGCAGTGGGAGAAGAAAGAAGAAAGACTGTGGACTGTTTACCCCCCACCACACACATTATTTTGTTTTACAAAAACACACACACCCCTATTATTTTAAACTTTATGAGCTGTTTTGTAAACAGTTCTAATGCTTTTCACTCTGCAGCCTGTAATTACTCTGAGAGAGAGAGAGAGAGAGAGAGAGAGAGAGAGAGAGAGAGAGAGAGAGAGAGAGAGAGAGAGAGAGAGAGAGAGAGGAAGAGAGACACTATAAGAAACAGATTTTATAAGGTTTGGTGGTCTTTCTTTCTTTCTTTCTTTCTTTCTTTCTTTCTTTCTTAATAACTCAGGGTTATTTCAGTGATTGCTGAACACTGAGAGCCTGCAATTTTTCTGCACTGACTGGTTTCTGTGCATTTGTTTCAAATCATGAGAAAAGTGATACAAGCATGAAAGGCAGGCGAAGGAAAGAAACAAGTCAAACAATGGCTGTCTCCAGCAGAGTAGCAGAGGCTAAACAGTTACATACAGAAATTTCTTCCAGGGTTGGTCTTTTAAGTAGCAAGAGTTTGCTCACCTCTCCAAGCCTGCAAGGGTGTGTGAAGAGAGAGTGAGCAAGGGTTTTTTGCATCCGTTCTAGTGTGAACCAGCCTCTGCTGACAGTAGTGACCCGGAAATTACACTCAGACTCACAGCGTCGGGCAAACAGTGGCGCTTGGAGTTTAAAGAATCGGCCACACATGAAACTGAAAATTCTGCACAATTAAGATGCTGATAACATTCCCTGGAACCCAATCAACATTACTGGTTATTCTTTTCTTTATCTTATTTACTTTGCCTCTTCCTTTAGGAAAAAGAAAATTAGCCTTAATGGTCCCTTGAATAAACTGCATTCAACTACACCGAAAAGCATTTCCTAATAAAGGAAAGGGACAGCCAAGTAGATGCATGTTTTTTCGCCTACAAAGTGACCTTCCTTAGAGTGTTAAAGGTGCAGAAGGAGCCTACATTTTTTTTCTGCTGCCGTTTATTATTGATTCAGGAGGTGCACATGTAAACGCAGAGAAACTGAGTGGTACAGAACACGGGACTTTCAGGCAGGTCTGACCCGCAGCACATCATCTTTACACCATCTCCCTTCACAAAAACACAAAGCACAGCACTCTGAAAAGCCTGCAAACAGACAATTCCTTATTCAAAAATGACCCTTTAAAACCTGTCATCTTCTCACTGCCTGGTTTCCATCTCCATAAGGAAAAGAAGTGAAGAAGAAGAAGAAGAAGAAGAAGAAGAAGAAGAAGAA